ACCTTCTATCCATATCCATTCCCACTTACCCGGTACCTCCCCTTCCCCTCCTTTTATATCTACCAACCCTCCACTACTTCCCGCCCTTTTTCCCCCGCGCCCGCCAAGAGAGTCTCGGTCTCTTTAACCATTAGTTCGTTCAAACCCTTCTCTAGGTTCCAGACATCCATTCAACAGGGGGTTTCCAGTCTTCAAATTTAAAAGGGTTTCCGCTCTGAACTTTCTAAGGACTGGGCCACTCAGGTGGGGTGTCCGGGTTTAATAATAATCCTTTCTCTCCTTCCAGTAGGGAGGTGGTGTCCTCCTCTCGAAAGTCCACCCAGTCACACCCCCGGTGGGTTCCCCCATCTGCCATGGGGTCTCTCAAATCCACTCTGACGTATCTCCCACGTCCTCCATTCCAATTTCTCTCTCGGCTCCCTCTCAACCTTCTCTTTCTCTTCCCTTAATTTCTTCTGCCTCTCTTTTGTCTCTTTCTCACCCCAGTGTGATGGCTTGGGAGTGATTTCTCTCCTCCTCCGTGCATCCGCTTCTGTCTTTTGGAACCCTTAGTTTTTCCACTTGCCCCGTCCAAGGGTCTTCTATCCAAATCCATTCCCAATAACCTGGTAATTTTTATATCCCCTAACCCCGCCTCCACTACTTCCCGCCCTTTTTCTCCTGCGCCCGCCAAAAGAGTCCCGGTTTCTTTAACCGTTAGTTTGTTTAAACCCTTCTCTAGGTTCCCCTGGTCTGGTCCAGGTGGTTTTGTCTTCCTGGGTGGGGGAACTGGCGAGGTCTGAGGTTCTTTTTCAGCGGTTGGCGGGACGGACGGCACTCCCGTGAGAGGGGTCTCTCTCTCACACTTCTGGTCTCACACATAGCCATAAACACAATATGAAAGAAATACTGTATAGGGTGAATCAGGATTGTCTAAGCCACATAACAAACCTTATAAGGTGGTGTGTGAAGAATTGTTTCCAGCCGGTGACTCCCTTCAAATGTGCCACCTGTAGCATCCAATGTAACCTATATGTTAATAGTTTATATTATTTGTGGTTTTGTCCACAGTTAGTGGTTTGCAGCATTTTCTCTCCTCCACCTTAGGAATGGCATTTGAAATTCTTGGAACGCTGGTTGGAGCCACTCTGCAAGGGCAAATTGTTGCTGGGGCTCACACCTCTGATCACTGTAGCTACAACCACACCACAGATCTGCAAGAAAGCAATTCCACCATCCTAGACCCAACTCATGGGGTGAGTTGAAAAAATGTTGAATTTTTTTAAAGGAGGGATACTTTATCTCAGCTGTGCAAATACAGTGTTTTCTTTATTATAGTGACTTTAGTTAGACGAAAGACAACATTTCTTGGTGGATGACCTACGCTGGGAACTGGACAGGGAGAATGCTGTAACGCCCTCTATGTGGGGCTGCCTTTGAAGATGGTTCAGAAACTTCAGCTGGTGCAAAACTCTGCAGCCAGATTACTGACTGGGGCCAGCTACAGGGAGTGTATAATGCACCTGTTACAAGAACTGCACCAGCTACCAGTCCGTTTCTGGTCCCAATTCAAAGTGCTGGTCATTACCTATAAAACTCTATACAGCTTGGGTCAAGGCTACCTAAAGGAACATATCTCCCTATATGTACCTTCTTGGCAATTAAGATCAGCAGAGGAGACTCTCCTCTTGGTCCCATTGCCAGCACAAGCACAGCTGATAGGGACCCGGGAGGGGGCCTTCTCAGTGGCAGCTCCCAGGCTATGGAACGCTCTCCCTCGGGAGATCAGGATGGCCCCTTCCCTTTAATCCTTCTGAAAAAAGCTAAAGACTGAACTCTTCAGGCAGGCTTTTAACAAACTGAATCCCTGAACCCCATTTCAGCAGATAATTTTCATCTTTTCCATGTTTTAATCTTTTAATCTTTTAATTTAATTTTTAAATCATACATAATTTATCTTTTAATATTTACCTTATTGTGTTTTTAAATTGTGTAAATTTTTAAGGTTGTGAGCTGCTTTGTGTCCCTTGTTGGGAGTAAAAGGTAAAGGTAAAGGTTCCCCTTGGCAATTTGCCCAGTCATGTCTGACTCTAGGTGAGTAATGAGGCAGAGTAGTAGTAGTAGTAGTAGTAGTAGTAGTAGTAGTAGTAGTAGTAGTAGTAGTAGTAGTAGTTGTTGTTGTTGTTGTTGTTGTTGTTGTTGTTGTTGTTTCTGTGAGGAAACATGATTTGGTCAGTGCAGGTACTCCATATATCAAGGCAGATTACAGCTGTTTGATACAAGGACAACAAACTCATTAAAATGGTTTCTGCTTTTAAAGAAGTTGTATGGAGCTTAGTAGGAGGTGTTTCTCGTTCTGTATTTCAGTATAATTGGAAATTGGTGTGTGTTGGGATCTTCATAGAAGATGGCATGGCACAATGTTTAGCACAGGGTTCTTTGCTTATCTAGGGGCATTGTTATCTTTTCCATCCTTGTCCTCCAAGTCATGGCATTTTAGTCCTTCAGAGTCATATTTTGTTTCAGATACCACAAAGAACTAGATCTACAATACAGGTCTTACACAGAATTGTTAGCAGTGTTCACAAGTTTAGCCATATGCCAAGTACAGTACAGTGTTTTTTTTAAAGAAATAAACAAAAGATAAGAAAAAGTCCCAATGAATCCATTACTTTTTGATATTGGCACACTATTTTGTCGTCATTGTTTAGTCGTGCCCGACTCTTCGTGACTTTCTCCTGGCCCCTGTGATTCCTGCCTATGCCCCCTCCGCCATCCGGACCCTTTAGCCGGTGTGTCGTTTGCTCGGGCAAGATCCCTTTTCAGGACGGGCACGACACGTGTCTTTTTTGTCTGGGTGAATCCCATTCTCCCCAGACTTGCAGGCATTG